TTCTAAGTTCATTAACGCCAGTTACCAACTCGAAATTTGTTAACCAGTTCCCCAGGCGTGTTCAGCAAAAAGTGGGCAAGGCCTATAACTCAAAGTATGTAACTCGAACATTAGCTGTTCTCGTTAAGATAATACCCCACATATTTAGATTGTAGTGTGTCTTGTTTATGATTCATACTAGCCACATGCAAGTCCTTTACTTTGATTTTATCATTCTCTCTCTCTCTCTTCACAGATCGTACTGTCAAAGTTTCATTGGAAGACATTTTAATTTTCACTACTGGGGCTGACAGAATTCCACCATTAGGTTTTTGTCCTGATCCTACTGTGGAATTCATTCATTCTGGAGATATAACCAAGCTAAAATTACCATTGGGCAACACCTGCGGAAATCAGATATCCATTCCAGTGGTTAATTCATATGATCTTTTTAAAACATGTATGGAATTCGGTATTCTAAACACTGCAGGTTTTGGCAGTGTTTAGTTATATATAGTTAAACATGGTAAGATGAAACCTGACGTAAATGTTTTTGGGTTCATATAGTAACCTCTGTATTTTCATAGTAGATAGATGAAAACAGTTATATGTTGTTCCACAGGTTTTTTAATTACTACAATTAGATAGTATAAATCGGCAGGGATAGAAGAGGTTTCATGGGATCATTGTTTTAATTGACCAAATATGCAGACCCATCCAATTCATGTATGTCTGTAAAATAGTGAATGAAACTCACACACTAGGACATGGCGGATAAAACATGTTGTTTGAAGTATTCTTGACGAATTGAATATAAATGTAAGGGTGGCAGTTGTCAAAGCATGTCACACTTATTATGAGGTTCATAGCCATAATATACAACACAGATAAAATCTATTGTTTATTTACATTTACATGTAATTTAATAGCGTCTGCCAAGAACAGCACATCAATAAACAGTTGGCATCTGCCAACTTGAGTGGACATTTTGTAACCCACATTTTATGTGCAAGTTCTTTCATTTTCAATCCAAATGTGCCTTTTATTAGTCCCCGTTCGGACGAAGTCCGAAAACGGGGACTTATAATTCAGTCTCCGTTCGTTCGTGCGTCCATCCGGAGTCGTATCTCAGAATCCCTTGGACCGATTCCGTTCATTCTTTGCATGTGCCTAGTACTTTATCTGGCTGACAGGCAGCCATCTTGTTTTTTGAAAATGTTGTATTTTGGACATGCTTTGTCAGTTGTCATTCAAACTTGGTAAATAGATTATACATGTTAGGTTACATGTCTAGTACAATTTATTTCGCAATTGGATCAAAGATGGTCGACTGGCAGGCATCTTGTTTTTTTTATGCGGTATCTTGGAAGTGCTCTGTCAGTTTTCATTCAAATTTGGCACATACATGTACTTTATACATGTTAGGATGCATGTCCATAACAATTTGTTTCAAAATCTGGTCAAGGATGGTCGATTGACAGCAATCTGACTTTTTTGCCTTACTACCGGTACTATATTTCCACAATTTATGTACCATTTTCATTCGTATTTGGCACATACATCATACATATCAGTGTGTTTCATAATCAGATCAAAAATGGCCAAATAACGGCTGTTTTTATTTTTGGCCGTATTACTACTACACGGAACACGTGTTTTGATGTAAATAAACAATCTGTTGTATATGCCACTTGTTTTTTGTAATTTGATTCAATATGACTGCCCAATGTCCAATTCTTGTGTAAAAGCACTAAATCATAATTTTACAAATCCATCTCCTATTAATGGTTTCAATCAAATCTCAATGACTTCATCAGCATCAAATTGATATGTCAGATCACAAAATTTGGGACGGGGATTGTGTCATTGACAATGACTTGTTTTTTTATTAAAGTTTATCATGATATAATGTACAAATAAATTTGTTTACAAATAAACCATTTGTCTTTCTTTCTAGCATTAAAGCACAATGTGAGCTTTTCAATTTAAGGTGGGTGTGTGGGTCTGTTCCACAGAAATCTCCAGAACTATTGATATTTGGATGTAATTTGGTACACATATGCTTTGGGGCATTCTACAGACCCGATTACGTTTTGGGCTAAATCTGTTTAAGTTAAATATGTAAATTAGCTAATTTGCATATAATTTGTTCATTAAAGTGGGATTACCTCGTGAACACAACAAATTGACCAAATGTGATAAGGATGTACATTGATGTAATCTCTTTGCCATGTTACTATTGTGGATAATTTGCATATGTAAATTAGCATATTGTTTTTACTAAATTGGGATTATCATGAACAACTATAGTTTGGAATCAAATTTGGTAGGCATGTGCATTGATGTAATCTGTATGCCATGTTAGTATTGAAGATAATTTGCATATGTAAATTAGCTAATTTGCATATGTAAATTAGCTTATTTGCGTAATGTGGCTCTTATAGTGTAATTCATGAACCAGTTACTAAATGTTGCCCATATTTAGTATTCTGTGACGTATTCTGGATGAATGACAGACCTGTTTATTTTCAACAACTAATCCTGGACGCGTATTTGTTCCATAACGGGGGAGCCCCTTCTAAGCTTTCTTCGATTTTATAATTGTGTAGCATATGGTAAATCCTGAGAATGGTGACAAATCAATATTATAAAAAAACAGCAACACATTAAAGCCTGGGGTCCTGAACGTTCAAACTGTCACTAAAATGTTGGATGGGCCTTGCTTGACCTTGAACATACAAGAGCATGTGTTTGATATTAATAACATAATTGTCAAAATAGACTCGTGGGCCTTTACTTGGATAAATACAGTAAATGTAAAATAAAGTCATTGACATCCCAATAGAAGTCGTTTATTTACATAGCACTACGCATATTCCATTTATATATACAATACAAATGTAGATACATGTAATTCAAGAATTTTTAATATGGCCTTCAATGTTTTATGGATGTACTAAGTGGTTCACCAATCGAAATAACATTTAGAGTTTTAACTACTTGAATCTGAGTGATAATACATGCCAAGTTAGAACTGAAATTATACATGCATAGATTAGTAAGCACATATTGCATGTTTATTCTACAGGTTTGCTTACACACATTTACATGATGTCATACTGTACCCAGAATCCTTTGCTTGAGAATCAAGATGGCTGACTACATAATACTGATGAAAAGTTGAATATCTAGAGAATGAAAAGTGATATAAAAAAATGTATATTGCATTCTCCTACATTGTGGAGCTTTTTCTTTAGGGGTCATTATGTTGTTCGGATTGATGTTTCCTTCAATGAATTTGCACATTAGCCTAATCAATATTCATCTCAGACCTGACCTAATATGGTCAATAATACATTCTGAAGTAACATAAATAAATATACATGTATTAGGTATTTCAAATTAACCAGTACATTAAGGTACTACAAAATAAGACAATTGTCACATGACCAGTCACATTTTGTTAGAATCTGAAAAATGGAAGTATTTGTTACGAGTTAGTTATGATAACTAATTTGATGTTGCAATGGGGTGGTTTTTATCGGAACACAAATTCACCAAAATGCTTTTGCATATTATTAAGGTGTTGCTACCATATATTTTGATGCATGTACAGGTGTCAATCTTCACTTATTGGCGAGGTGTATTTTCCAGCAAACTGTACAAACGCTCTCTTGTTAAAATGTAGATTGAAATGCCATAATCATTGCTTTCCTCTAATGGGTTGATAGTTTGAGTTAGAACATCAAGTGTATCATTCGGCAATGGTAATAACACTTCTGGTAATGTGATGTTGTACTCGTCTTCATCTGGAACTGGTGCCTGTGGATCTATCCCATATCCAAGATAAGACAGTGGTGCTCTTGCTATCACATCTTGTACTGCTGTTTGATCTTGATTATTTACATCAATCATGCCATTTAACCAGATTTGTAGTGGGGACCAACCTCCTTCCGTTCGCAGACCATGCCTATTGAAGGCAGCCGTAAATTCCTCCAGTGCACTGTTGATTCTAGGGACAAAAACAAAGTGCAAACAAAACAGATCCACTTCACTATCCACATCTAGATTATTTTGTGTCTCCATATGATAAAACAATGCATAGAATGTTTGTATGACAGCATAGTACACATCTCTCCATAGGCGTTCAATTCGAGAATTATGAACAGAGCGTCCAGCAATAAAACTTCCTCTGTTTGGTCCTCTTTGTGTTTCCATAAAGTCAGATACACGAACATTCTCTGTACCGTGGTCAGCACGAACTCTTGATGGAAGACCATATTGGTCTACAGCGCCCACAAACAAATCCGCCACAGTTATTGCTCTGTTATTGGTAGAACAAATATACAATTAATCTGCTATATCCATCAATGGCCCCATGAGTCACTATTCTCCATCGTATTAAAGCATGATGGCCATCAATGTGCCATAAACTATTTGGACCAGGTACAGAATAAATCCTACGTTGTGCCACTAAACCCCATCGAAGAGCAGAATTGGCAGGATCAATTCTGTGCAAAGCTGATCTTACTCTATGACGCTGCACTGCTAAGCCCCTTGATTTTAAATGTCCCAGCATCATAAC